TAGAAATAGGGTGGAGTAAAGAAAAGCATTTAAAGCGAACTAATCATAACTATCATGCTAATTTCAAGCATAAAATGTCTTTTGATCATATGATTACCGTATCACCACGATGGATCACAAACCACTCAGGCAGGGCGCAGCAGATGATGACCCCAAACAGCCCGATGGCACTGAGAACCACACAAACCGTCTGAACTGTTTTTGATGCCATTCTGTAAAAGACAAAGAAGAAAATCAAAATTAAAAAAATGGGATTAAATAATTTTCTGTGACATATTCTTGGGTTTTCTTCTTGGCGTCTTCTATGCAGGATTGGGCCTCTGGCAGCGATGTGCACAGACAGACACTAGAGGGCGCTAAGAGCACCTGCACCCTCAAAACCACAACATGTTCAACATTATAACAACTACATATAAACTTAGGTTTACATGTTAGATTTACTTAAATTTAGCTGCAAGAAAAAACTTAAAATCTTTAAGTTTTAAAGATTTTTAAATCTTTAAAGCAAGAGAGCTTAAAGAGCCACACGATGAGTCGTTCACCGTCCTTCATCTGCACAAAAACTAAAGTGAAACTTATAATATCAGCAGCCATCTTGTTTCCAGCTCTCATTGCTTATAACTAAGAATAATATCAGTCATGTGTCTCACTGACCACCTGCACAGGTGTTGATGATTCTCATGACAGTCATATTCTGTGGTCCAGTTCTTACTACGTTCTGTTGGTTATGGGTCAGTTATGGCGCTTTTCCACTAACTAACCGGTTCGGTTCCGGTCCGCCTCGATTCATTTTCTATTATCAAATCAGGCTCTTATTACTTCACCTATAACAAGACATTTCTCCTTGTTATCAGTGAATTAATCTGCAGATGGAACCAGAACTTTTTCATCAATATTAGGAAATTATTGACTGACAACAAGCTCATATTTGTTGCTGTAAAGTTTCTTGTAAGTTAGTTTTGTCTTATTTATGTTATACTGAGATATTTGCACCATGAACTAAACTAAAATTAGTTGGTAAGATTTTGTGTTTTTGGATGTATTTGAGTCCATCAGAACCAGAACCTTGACATTCTCTATTGCTGAGTGTTGCTGCAAACATCAGAGGAGAGTTGACCACAGCTGCAGCGCTCACCATATCAGAGCGTATAAAGGAAAACCTCACTATCTGTGGTAAAACCAAACCGCACATCAACAGGTTAGAGCGACGTGGCAGAGAAACGAGACTTTAGATCAGAGATGTGATGACAGCTGCTTGATTTCTTTGTGCCATGAGGCTCAAAATGTCTGTTTGCATTCCTGCATCTGGTAACAAAGTAAAGAACCTCTGAGTTATTTTTGACCAGGACTTATTTAAATCTAATATTAAACTGGTTTCTTTGATTTCCTTCTTTCTGGGTTATTGCTAAAATTAAAGCTATCCTGTCCAGGAGAGACGTAGAAAACAGTCCATGCATATTTGAGTTATTTTGTCTGGGTAATAAAATCATCTGACCGTTTTCATTGTGTCTTTGTTGTGTTGGTAATCTGAAGGCTTAAATCTCACTCTTAGAAAAACAAAAACATGCAGTTAATCGATTTTCAATCAATTTTCTCCACCACAGAGTTAAGAATAAATAAACGTTTTCACTGAGGCTCTTTAAACGTATAAACATTTTAAACTTTAAATTGACCTTTGTATATAAAACAGACCAGGATATATTTGCTTATTGAGAGGAAACGCAAAAGAAAAGATTTTCTCCACGTCCCGTAGGAGGTTCAGTATAATTATTTCATTATATAAAGTGTTATAAATGTACATTTATGAATAAATATGCTATGTTTCTAATATTATCTTAAGTGTGTAGCTGTTTTTGTAATGAATGTGTTTTTAATGATGTGAAGGAAGAGAAGCCAAATAAGTAAACAAATATTTCTCTTATTTTAGCTTCTCCTCATTGGCTCCCTGCTAAATTAACACATAAAGTCTTTAATAATCATTTTATTAAAGGTTTTTCTGGTTATTTCTGCTGCAGGACAAACTGAACGCTTTAATATCAACTCTGTACAGTTATTTAAACTTTTAACTGATTTAAAAGTTCACTTCATGAGGTTCGACTGGGAAAACTAAGCAACTAAATGTTCTTACTCTCCTCAACTAACTTTTTATTTAACATAGAACATTTATTTTTTTTGCTTTGTAAATTCCTTAGAGATAAAGTATTGTGAATTGGCACAATAAAAATAAACTGAACTGAAAATACTTTTTTGTCTCTTTCGGTTTAATAAATCTTAATTTAGCACATTAAATATGTATGAATGATAAAAAAAAGTTACATTTGGTTCTAAAAAGGTTCATTTTGTGCACATTATGGTGGATTTCTGTTAAAATTAGAATCAACAATTCTTCTATTTTAGCTAAATCAGTTTTTCTTTGCATTAAAAATGGATAAACAGGTGAATAATTTCTTACCTTTCTCGCGTTCTGCAGGTTCTTCTGTCTGTTGTGTCTTTAAATAAAGTGGAAACTGTCTGAAATAGCATTTAAGGTGTGGCTGTTGCTTCATAACGAAAGTTCTGCTTGGTTTTTTCCACTTCTGTGATTTTGATTCATGCCAGTGAAGAGTCTGTGCTCATCTAAGTACAGGATGTAACTTTTCACATCTTTAGCAATTATTTCTCGTAAGGATTTGACTTTGCAATAAAGAAAAAACCCCATTGAGTTTTTGTCATTGCATACTATGGAGCTGGTTGCTGGTTCTGAATGTGGATCGGACGAAAGCAACGGTTTTCTCACGCCTGGTGCACACATTGAGTTTGTCAGTAATTATAAATGTACGAAGCCACATGCGTTTTTGATTGCAGCAAAATTTAATGTGTTTTATTACAAAGTGAAAATAACTGAATGTGTTGATGCCAAATTCTGACCCGACCATCCGAATGTCGCAGCAGAAATCCAGACTCATCAGACCAGGCGACGTTTTCCATCTCCTACTGTCCAGTTTTGGTGAGCCTGTGTGGATTGTAGCCTCAGTTTCCTGTTCTTAGCTGCCAGGAGCAGCACCCGGTGTGGTCTCCTGCTGCTGTAGCCCCTCCAGGTTCTCTTTTTCTGACTATTCTCTGTAAACCCTAGAGTTGGCTATGTGGGAAAATCCCAGTAGTTTGTGAAATACTCAGACCAGCCTGTCTGGCACCAACAAACCCCCCAACTTCCAATGTTACATTAATGAGCACATCTGAAAATGTAACAATTGAAGAAAAACTCATAAACAGAAATAGTTATGAAAAATCAGCAAAAACTTTTCATTATTTATTTGTTTGCAAATGAAAATACAGAAGCAAAAGCTGAAATATAAGATAAATTAAAGTCTGACTGTAACACTTTATCTGAAGGATTTGCATAATTTTCTAAAACAATATTATTTTTGCATGAGATGAAGAATCAAATAGTTGAAGTAAAGTTTTCTGTAATTTGCTTACATTTTTTTATTTTTGTAAAACAAAAATCATATTCTATGAAACTGTTTTTTTTTATTCATCTTATTTAATTTCCAATCACATCTGACCAAAGATAATGATCTGTTGTGGTTATTGTACAAAAACAGAAATAGTTACAGTAAATGTTTTATCAATAGAAAATAAAGCAGAAAACTGAGAAACATCATGAAATTGAAGCAAATCTGGTTGGTAATTATGTTGACTGGTTTTTAAACTGGAATTAAGAAAGCATGAAGAAAATAAACATAAAACAGTTTTAATATGCAAACAAAAAAATGAATCAAAAGTTCACTGAAATCAAATTTTCCAGCATTCAGGAAAATTATGTTAAAAGTCAAACACCAAATGTTAAAAGTATAGAAATGATAATTTCACATCATCTTCCCAGTTTTTACCTAAATTTATCCCTTGTCTGCCCGTCTGTTGGTCACCAGTTCCTTCCATCAAGCCTCTACATTCTGTATGTTTTAGCTTAAACTCTGTTGCTGAAGAAGCTGGCGGTTCCTCCAGAGCTGCTGGATCTGCTTAAGTAGCAGAGCAGACCTCCAGTCAGCATCAACATCAAACCAGCTATAAAGCCGATATAGATGCTCGCTCCCAGCATCATTCCCTCTGGTGCATTGCTCATATTATTTGTCACCCAGCTGACCGGGATGATCACCAGCAGGCCGGCCAGCAGCAGCCCCACTGCGGCCGCCAGGATCATTTTGGGTTTGGGGGCTTGGTTCTGAACACATGGGGTGAAGTCGGAACCAAAGATCAGGAGGAGGAGGCCGAGACCACAGAGGATGCAGCTGATGACGGTCAAGGCCCTTAAGGCCTGAATTTTAGAGAATATCAGGGAGTCATCATGCGTTACGCACGCCTGCAGTCCAGTTCCCTGCTTCATACACGTCTTCCACAGACCTACATGAACTTCCTATCCACCCAAACACAGAGAAACAGATATTTACATACAATTTATTAAACATGCTGTATGATATTAAATCTCATAGAAAAATCTAATTAATTTCTTTTTACTGAATGTCAAAATTATGCTTTTTATTTTTATTCTTTTATTTTATTTTTTTGAGAATATTTTTCAACTCCCATCCAAACGTTTATATAAATTAACATCACTGAGTCTTTAAACAGTTTAGAAAAGAACAGATGATGTCAGGAATCTGTACGTTTCTGATGAGGCGTAAAACTGCAAAGTCAA